ACGATATCTACTGTACACCACATTCCCACGAGAAGACAAGCATGAGATCTACTGTACTCCACATTCCCACGAGTAGACAAGCACGACATCTACTGTACACCACATTCCCACGAGAAGACAAGCATGACATCTACTGTACACCACATTCCCACGAGAAGACAAGCATGACATCTACTGTACACCACATTCCCACGAGAAGACAAGCATGAGATCTACTGTACACCACATTCCCTCGAAGAGATAAGCATGACATCTACTGTACACCACATTCCCACGAGAAGACAAGCATGACATCTACTGTACATCACATTCCCACGAGAAGACAAGCATGACATCTACTGTACACCACATTCCAACGAGAAAACAAGCATGACATCTGCTGTACACCATATCCCCACGAGAAGACAAGCATGAGAGATCTACTGTACACCACATTCCCACGAGAAGACAAGCATGACATCTACTGTACTCCACATTTCCACGAGTAGACAAGCATGACATCTACTGTACACCACATTCCCACGAAAAGACAAGCATGACATCTACTGTACACCACATTCCCACGAGAAGACAAGCACGACATCTACTGTACACCACATTCCAACGAGAAGACAAGCATGACATCTACTGTACACCACATCCCCACGAGAAGACAAGCACGACATCTACTGTACACCACATTCCCACGAGAAAACAAGCATGACATCTACTGTACACGACATTCCAACGAGAAGACAAGCATGACATCTACTGTACTCCACATTCCCACGAGAAGACAAGCACGACATCCACTGTAAGCCACACCCCCAAGAGAAGACAAGCATGCGATCTACTGTATACCACATTCCCACGAGCAGACAAGCATGACATCTACTGTACACCACATTCCCACGAGAAAACAAGCATGACATCTACTGTACACCACATTACCACTAGAAGACAAGCATGGCATCTGCTGTACACCACATTCCCACGAGAAGACAAGCACGACATCCACTGTACACCACACCCCCAAGAGAAGACAAGCATGAGATCTACTGTATACCACATTCCAACGAGAAGACAAGCATGAGATCTACTGTACATCACATTCCCACGAGCAGACAAGCATGACATCTACTGTACACCACATTCCCACGAGAAAACAAGCATGACATCTACTGTACACCACATTTCCACTAGAAGACAAGCATGACATCTGCTGTACACCACATTCCCACGAGAAGACAAGCACGACATCTACTGTACACCACGTTCCCACGAGAAGACAAGCATGAGATCTACTGTACTCCACATTCCCACGAGAAGAGAAGCATGAGATCTACTGTACACCACATTCCCACGAGAAGACAAGCATGAGATCTACTGTACACCACATTCCCACGAGAAGACAAGCACGACATCTACTGTACACCACATTCCCACGAGAAGACAAGCATGACATCTACTGTACACCACATTCCCACGAAGAGACAAGCATGAGATCTACTGTACACCACATTCCCACGAGAAGACAGGCATGACATCTACTGTACACCACATTCTCACGAGAAGACAAGCACGACTTCCACTGTACACCACATCCCCAAGAGAAGACAAGCATGAGATCTACTGTACTCCACATTCCCACGAGGAGACAAGCATGACATCTACTGTACACCACATTTCCACGAGAAGACAAGCATGACATCTACTGTACACCACATTCCCACGAGAAGACAAGCATGACATCTACTGTACACCACGTTCCCACGAGATGACAAGGATGACATCTACTGTACACCACAATCCCACGAGAAGACAAGCATGACATCTACTGTACACCACATTCCCATGAGAAGACAAGCATGAGATCTACTGTACATCACATTCCCACGAGAAGACAAGCATGACATCTACTGTATTCCACATTCCAACGAGAAAACAAGCATGAGATCTACTGTACACCACATTCCCACGAGAAGACAAGCATGAGATCTACTGTACACCACATTCCCACGAGAAGACAAGCACGACATCCACTGTACACCACATCCCCAAGAGAAGACAAGCATGAGATCTACTGTACTTCACATTCCCACAAGGAGACAAGCATGACATCTACTGTACACCACATTCCCACGAGGAGACAAGCATGACATCTACTGTACTCCACATTCCCACGAGGAAACAACAATGACATCTACTGTACACCACATTCCCACGAGAAGACAAGCATGACATATACTGTACATCACATTCCCACGAGAAGACAAGCATGACATCTACTGTACACCACATTCCCACGAGAAGACAAGCATGACATCTACTGTACACCACATTCCCACGAAGAGACAAGCATGAGATCTACTGTACACCACATTCCCACGAGAAGACAGGCATGACATCTACTGTACACCACATTCTCACGAGAAGACAAGCACGACTTCCACTGTACACCACATCCCCAAGAGAAGACAAGCATGAGATCTACTGTACTCCACATTCCCACGAGGAGACAAGCATGACATCTACTGTACACCACATTCCCACGAGAAGACAAGCATGAGATTTACTGTACTCCACATTCCCGAGAGGAAACAACCATAACATCTACTGTACACCACATTCCCACGAGAAGACAAGCATGAGATCTACTGTACATCACATTCCCACGAGAAGACAAGCATGACATCAACTGTACACCACATTCCCACGAGAAGACAAGCATGAGATCTACTGTACACCACATTCCCACGAAGAGACAAGCATGAGATCTACTGTACACCACATTCCCACGAGAAGACAGGCATGACATCTACTGTACACCACATTCCCACGAGAAGACAAGCATGACATCTACTGTACACCACATTCCCATGAGAAGACAAGCATGAGATCTACTGTACACCACATTCCCACGAGAAGACAGGCATGACATCTACTGTACACCACAATCCCACGAGAAGACAAGCATGACATCTACTGTACATCACATTCCCACGAGAAGACAAGCATGACATCTACTGTACACCACATTCCCACGAGAAAACAAGCATGACATCTACTGTACACCACATTCCCATGAGAAGAGAAGCATGACATCTACTGTGTACCACATTGCCACGAGAAGACAAGCATGAGATCTACTGTACACCACATTCCCACAAGAAGACAAGCATGACATCTACTATACACCACATCCCCACGAGAAGACAAGCATGACATCTACTGTACACCACATTCCCACGAGAAGACAAGCATGACATCTACTGTACACAACATTCCAACGAGTAGACAAGCACGACATCTATTGTACACCACATTCCCACGAGAAGACAAGCAGGACATCTACTGTATTCCACATCCCCACGATAAGACAAGCATGACATCTACTGTACACCACAATCCCACGAGATGACAAGCATGACATCTACTGTACACCACATTTCCACGAGTAGACAAGCACGATATCTACTGTACACCACATTCCCACGAGAAGACAAGCATGAGATCTACTGTACTCCACATTCCCACGAGTAGACAAGCACGACATCTACTGTACACCACATTCCCACGAGAAGACAAGCATGACATCTACTGTACACCACATTCCCACGAGAAGACAAGCATGAGATCTACTGTACACCACATTCCCACGAGAAGACAAGCATGAGATCTACTGTACACCACATTCCCTCGAAGAGATAAGCATGAGATCTACTGTACACCACATTCCCACGAGAAGACAGGCATGACATCTACTGTACACCAGAATCCCACGAGAAGACAAGCATGACATCTACTGTACACCACATTCCCACGAGAAGACAAGCATGAGATCTACTGTACATCACATTCCCACGAGAAGACAAGCATGACATCTACTGTACATCACATTCCAACGAGAAAACAAGCATGACATGTACTGTACACCACATTCCCACGAGAAGACAAGCATGAGATCTACTGTACACCAGATTCCAACGAGAAAACAAGAACGACATCCACTGTACACCACATCCCCAAGAGAAGACAAGCATGAGATCTACTGTACTCCACATTCCCACAAGGAGACAAGCATGACATCTACTGTACACCACATTCCCACGAGGAGACAAGCATGAGGTCTACTGTACTCCACATTCCCACGAGGAAACAACAATGACATCTACTGTACACCACATTCCCACGAGAAGACAAGCACGACTTCTACTGTACACCACATTCCCACGAGAAGACAAGCATGACATCTACTGTACATCACATTCCCACGAGAAGACAAGCATGACATCTACTGTACACCACATTCCCACGAGAAGACAAGCATGAGATCTACTGTACACCACATTCCCACGAAGAGACAAGCATGAGATCTACTGTACACCACATTCCCACGAGAACACAGGCATGACATCTACTGTACACCACAATCCCACGAGAAGACAAGCATGACATCTACTGTACACCACATTCCCACGAGAAGACAAGCATGAGATCTACTGTACACCACATTCCCACGAGAAGACAGGCATGAGATCTACTGTACATCACATTCCCACGAGAAGACAAGCATGACATCTACTGTACACCACATTCCCACGAGAAGACAAGCATGACATCTACTGTACACCACATTCCCACGAGAAGACAAGCATGACATCTACTGTACACCACATCCCCACGAGAAGACAAGCATGACATCTACTGTACACCACATTCCCACGAGAAGACAAGCATGACATCTACTGTACACCAGATCCCCACGAGAAGACAAGCATGACATCTACTGTACACCACATTCCCACGAGAAGACAAGCATGACATCTACTGTACACCACATTCCCACGAGAAGACAAGCATGAGATCTACTGTACACCACATTCCCAGAGAGAAGAGAGAGTTTTACAACCTCTTTAACAAACGAGAATGCTGAACTATTAGTTTACAAACATTACGGGCCTTATTAAATTCTCCACTTCTTCAAACCGAACAATCCCCATTTTCGACGTATGACATACCTCATCGTTTGACTGTTCCATGCAAGGTTTCGCTTGCAGCCATACTGTCACCTGAAAATATACAATACAGCAAAACCTCGTTAATCCAGACGGTGCCATTCCTCGCCAAATCTAATCAGGACTGATGTTCCATTGAATATTTATGAAGTTAACATTCCAATTGATTCAATGGCGTTTGATTGGCTAACCAAGCAATTATATTTGCGTTTATATTCCGATAAACTTTGAAACGACCCCGCCGTCCGCATAAGATGACATTCAGTAAGAAAACATGTCGCCGCGCCTGACCACTCGATCCCTCAAGCCCTGGAAGATCCAGGTTAGAATTGGTCTTCAGTAACCAATGCCTGTCGTAAGAGGCGACGACGGACCCGTGAAGATCCGGGGTAGAATAGGTCTTCAGCAACCAATTCCGGACGTAAAAGGCGACTGTGCTTAGAGGTAAGAGGTGACTTTGATGCATGTCATCGTATCCCAAATACCTAGATCGATGCTCTTGATGTCAAACACTGGATTGCGTGGTCCAGCCTCGATTATTTGTTTGTAGTTTAACGTCGCACTCAGCAATAGTCCAGCTATATGAACACGGTCTGTAAATAATCGACGCTTGACCAGACAATCCAGTGAGTGATGACATCATGAGCATCGATCCACACAATATGGGATCGATGACATGCATCAACCAAGTCAGCGAGCCTGACCACCCGATCCCATTTATCGCCTCTTACGACAAGCATAGTCGGCTTTTACGGCAAGCGTGGGTTGCTGAAGACCTATTCTACCCCGGATCTTTACGGGTCCTAGACTAGATTAGTTACAGACCCCCGTCATATAGCTGGAATATTGCTGAGTGCGGCGTTAAACAACAAACACAAAACTTACACACTGCCGCCATATAGCATGGATATTAACGACAAACAAATTCTAACCCGGAATCCCGACGTGATCAAGTTTTTACTCCCCGCTGAACTACGAATGCTTACGTTGATCCACTGAGTTCTGCTTGTATTTTGTCATGATAGGGTCTTCATCAACGTTCAGTATCATGGAAATATCCCGTTGGGACAAACGTGTCTTCTTCAGTAAGTCTCTTAACACTTGGCATTTGTTGGTGTTGGTGGGGCTGGGACGTTGTCTCACCAGCCTCAGACGGCTTCTGTTCCACCATCCCTCACCACCCTCCAGAAACAGCAACAGCAGCAGCAGGACCAGCGCGTGTCTCAGACGTAACGTCATCCTTTAAAAACAAAAATACGTGTGTTTGTTTGTTGTTTAACGTCGCACTGCGCAATATTCAAGCTATGTGACGGCGGATGCTAAATAATCGGACCCGTGAAGATCCGGGGTAGAATAGGTCTTCAGCAACCCATGCTTGCCGTAAAAGGTGACTATGCTTGTCGTAAAAGGCGACCAACAGGATCGGGTGGTCAGGCTCGATGACCTGGTTGATGCATGTCATCGATCCCAATTGCGTGGATCGACGCTCATGATGTCAATCACTGGATTGTCTGGTCCAGACTCGATTATTTACAGACCGCTGTCATATAGCTGGAGTGCGTCGTAAGACAAACAAATAAACAAACAAAACTTAACCACCCGATCCTCATACTCCGGCAGGCCCGTGAAGACGCCGGGGTAGAATAGGTCTTCAGCAATCCATACTTGCCGTAAAAGGTGACTATGCTTGTCGTAAAAGGCGACCAACGGGATCGGGTGGTCAGGCTCGCTGACTTGGTTGATGCATGTCATCGATCCCAATCGCGTGGATTGATGCTCATGATATCAATCACTGGACTGTCTGGTTCAGACTCGATTATTTACAGACCGCGGTCATATAGCTGGAATATTGCTGAGTGCGGCGTTAAACAACAAACCAACAACCAAATCATACTCCGGCTCTTACCCTAAGGTCCCCATCCAACCTGTGCTGTCTTCAGAAGCGACTAAACGGGTTGGGTTGTCAGTAATATTGTTTGTTTCTTTAGTCACGTCAATATTCCAGCAAGCCTGACCTCCCGATCCCGTTAGTCGCCTTTTACGGCAAGCATGGGTTGTAGAAGGCCTATTCTAACCCGGATCTTCACGAATGGAATTGTGGATGCAGGGGTGAGCAACCAGACGCCATTTTGAAACATTATTTAATTAAAAAAAAACCCAGAACAAAATCATTTGGTGACGTAAAAATAAATAAACCAATATTTGATTAAAAACTCAATTTCCCCCGATTTATTGAGTAATTGAAAAATAAGTAAAGTATAGCCCACTTCTTCCCGAAAGGTTGTATCGGCGCTTGCTGGAATATTGTGTACTGTTAAACAATAAAAGGACGCTACAAACTTACCTTGATATTTGCTTCTGAGCGGGACTGTCTGATGGTGTGAGTACAATGTTTATCTGTAACTGACTATCCACTCTACAATCATGGCACAGTGTGAAAAAAAAGTCATTGGTTGAGAAGGGTGTGATGAGTTCCGGGCGACAGCGTTGTGTACCGCAGTTCACACGGTGCGTGAAGTGAAGCATAGATACAGCACTTCCTGGTCGATGCCACAATCACGACTATGTGTCAAACATGTTACCTATGAAAATCACAAACGTGTATTGAACCAATTCTGACAACAATTCATAAGGCCTTACACTGTATATTTTAGTTTTGCGGAACCACAGACCCTAAAAATCGAAAATTCAGAAAATATTGAAATCCCAAAAGTTCTTTTTGTACCACCGAATGTAACAAACTAACAATGAAACGCTGCTGATATGTATTTGTATCACCTACCGATCCAAATCGAACATTAAGATGACTGGACCCTTGAAGATCCGGGGTAGAATAGGTCTTCAGCAACCCATGCTTGCCGTAATAGGCGACTATACTTACCGTAACTAACGCAACGGTTCATGATGGATGATGATCTCGCCTTCTGTTTCGTTGCCGTAAGATACCCGTGATCGTGGGTTTCATCCCAGTGTAACCGTCTACTGTCTGGGTTGGTTGGTTTGTTGGTTTGTTGGTTTGTTTTTTGACGCCGCATTCAGCGATAGTCAAGCTTTATGACGGCGGCCTGTAAATGATCGAGTCTCTGAACCAGACAATCCAGTGATTGATATCATGAACATCGATCAACCCAATTTGGGTCGATGACATGGTGACGTAATATAACCGTCCTTTCACCGTGGGTTTCATCCCAGTGTAACCGTCTACCATCTAGCTTACATAAGATAACCGTGCTCATTGGTTTCATCCCAGGAACCGTCTACTATGTGGTCGACGTAAGATAACTGTGCTTGTGGGTTTCATCCCAGGAACCGTCTACTATCTGGTCGACGTAAGATACCCTTGTTTGTGGGTTTCATCCCAGTGTAACTGTCTACTATCTGGTCGACGTAAGATACCCTTGTTTGTGGGTTTCATCCCAGTGTAACCGTCTACTATCTGGTCTACATAAGATAACCGTGCTCATTGGTTTCATCCCAGGAACCGTCTACTATCTGGTCGACGTAAGATACCCTTGTTTGTGGGTTTCACCCAGTGTAATCGTCTACTGTCTGGTCGACGTAAGATACCCTTGTTTGTGGGTTTCATCCCAGTGTAACCGTCTGCTATCTGGTCGACGTAAGATACCCTTGTTTGTGGGTTTCATCCCAGTGTAACCGTCTACTATCTGGTCGACGTAAGATACCTGTGCTTGCGGGTTTCATCCCAGTGTAACCGTCTACTATCTGGTCGAAGTAAGATAACCGTGCTTGTGGGTTTCATCTCTGTGTAATCGTCTACTATCTGGTCGAAGTAAGATAACCGTGCTTGTGGGTTTCATCCCAGTGTAACTGTCTACCATCTGGCTTACATAAGATAACCGTGCTCATTGGTTTCATCCCAGGAACCGTCTACTATGTGGTCGACGTAAGATAACTGTGCTTGTGGGTTTCATCCCAGGAACCGTCTACTATCTGGTCGAGGTAAGATACCCTTGTTTGTGGGTTTCATCCCAATGTAACCGTCTACTATCTGGCTTACATAAGATAACCGTGCTCATTGGTTTCATCCCAGGAACCGTCTACTATGTGGTCGACGTAAGATAACTGTGCTTGTGGGTTTCATCCCAGGAACCGTCTACTATCTGGTCGACGTAAGATACCCTTGTTTGTGGGTTTCATCCCAGTGTAACTGTCTACTATCTGGTCGACGTAAGATACCCTTGCTTGTTGGTTTCATCCCAGTGTAACCGTCTACTATCTGGTCTACATAAGATAACCGTGCTCATTGGTTTCATCCCAGGAACCGTCTACTATCTGGTCGACGTAAGATACCCTTGTTTGTGGGTTTCACCCAGTGTAACTGTCTACTGTCTGGTCGACGTAAGATACCCTTGTTTGTGGGTTTCATCCCAGTGTAACCGTCTACTATCTGGTCGACGTAAGATACCCTTGTTTGTGGGTTTCATGCCAGTGTAACCGTCTACTATCTGGTCTACATAAGATAACCGTGCTCATTGGTTTCATCCCAGGAACCGTCTACTATCTGGTCGATGTAAGATACCCTTGTTTGTGGGTTTCACCCAGTGTAACTGTCTACTGTCTGGTCGACGTAAGATACCCTTGTTTGTGGGTTTCATCCCAGTGTAACCGTCTACTATCTGGTCTACATAAGATAACTGTGCTCATTGGTTTCATCCCAGGAACCGTCTACTATCTGGTCGACGTAAGATAACCGTGCTTGTGGGTTTCATCCCAGTGTAACCGTCTACTATCTGGCTTACATAAGATAACCGTGCTCATTGGTTTCATCCCAGGAACCGTCTACTATGTGGTCGACGTAAGATAACTGTGCTTGTGGGTTTCATCCCAGGAACCGTCTACTATCTGGTCGACGTAAGATACCCTTGTTTGTGGGTTTCATCCCAGTGTAACTGTCTACTATCTGGTCGACATAAGATACCCTTGTTTGTGGGTTTCATCCCAGTGTAACCGTCTACTATCTGGTCTACATAAGATAACCGTGCTCATTGGTTTCATCCCAGGAACCGTCTACTATCTGGTCGACGTAAGATACCCTTGTTTGTGGGTTTCACCCAGTGTAACTGTCTACTGTCTGGTCGACGTAAGATACCCTTGTTTGTGGGTTTCATCCCAGTGTAACCGTCTACTATCTGGTCGACGTAAGATACCCTTGTTTGTGGGTTTCATCCCAGTGTCACCGTCTACTATCTGGTCGACGTAAGATAACCTTGCTTGGGGGTTTCATCCCAGTGTAACCGTCTACTATCTGGTCAACGTAAGATACCTGTGCTTGTGGGTTTCATCCCAGTGTAACCGTCTACTATCTGGTCAACGTAAGATAACTGTGCTCGTGGGTTTCATGCCAGTGTAACCGTCTACTATCTGGTCTACATAAGATAACCGTGCTTGTGGATTTCATCCCAGTGTAACCGTCTACTATCTGGTCGACGTAAGATAACCATGCTTTTGGATTTCATCCCAGTGTAACCGTCTACTATCCGGTCTAAGTAAGATAACCGTGCTTCTGGGTTTCATCCCAGTGTAACCGTCTACTATCTCAGCGACGTAAGATACCTGTGCTTGTTGGTTTCATCCCAGTGTAACTGTCTACTATCTGGTCGATGTAAGATACCTGTGCTTGTGGGTTTCATCCCAGTGTAACCGTCTACTATCTGGTCGATGTAAGATAACTGTGCTTGTTGGTTTCATCCCAGGAACCGTCTACCATCTGGTCGACGTAAGATAACCGTGCATGTGGGTTTCATCTCAGTGTAACCCTCTACTATCTGGTTGACGTAAGACAACCGTGCTTGTGGGTTTCATCTCTGTGTAACCGTCTACTATCTGGTTGAAGTAAGATAACCGTGCTTGTGGGTTTCATCCCAGTGTAACCGTCTACTATCTGGTCGACGTAAGATACCTGTGCTTGTTGGTTTCATCCCAGTGTAACTGTCTACTATCTGGTCGATGTAAGATACCTGTGCTTGTGGGTTTCATCCCAGTGTAACCGTCTACTATCTGGTCGATGTAAGATAACTGTGCTTGTGGGTTTCATCCCAGGAACCGTCTACCATCTAGTCGACGTAAGATAACCGTGCATGTGGGTTTCATCTCAGTGTAACCCTCTACTATCTGGTTGACGTAAGACAACCGTGCTTGTGGGTTTCATCTCTGTGTAACCGTCTACTATCTGGTTGAAGTAAGATAACCGTGCTTGTGGGTTTCATGCCAGTGTAACCGTCTACTATCTGGTCTACATAAGATACCTGTGCTCATGGGTTTTATCCCAGGAACCGTCTACTATTTGGCCAACATAAGATACCTGTGCTTGTGGGTTTTATCTCAGTGTAACCGTCTACTATCTGGTCAACGTAAGATAACTGTGCTTGTGGGTTTCATCCCAGGAACCGTCTACCATCTGGTCGACGTAAGATAACCGTGCATGTGGGTTTCATCTCAGTGTAACCATCTACTATCTGGTTGACGTAAGACAACCGTGCTTGTGGGTTTCATCTCTGTGTAACTGTCTACTATCTGGTTGAAGTAAGATAACCGTGCTTGTGGGTTTCATCCTAGTGTAACCGTCTACTATCTGGTCGACGTAAGATACCTGTGCTTGTGGGTTTCATCCCAGTGTAACCGTCTACTATCTGGTCGAAGTAAGATAACCGTGCTTGTGGGTTTCATCCCAGTGTAACCGTGTACTATCTGGTCGAAGTAAGATAACCGTGCTTGTGGGTTTCATCCCAGTGTAACCGCCTACTATGTGGTCGACGTAAGATACCTGTGCTTGTGGGTTTCATCCCACTGTAACCGTCTACTATCTGGTTGACATAAGAAAACCGTGCTTGTGGGTCTCATCCCAGTGTAACCGTCTACTATCTGGTCGACGTAAGATAACTGTGCTTGTGGGTCTCATCCCAGTGTAACCGTCTACTATCTGGTCAACGTAAGATAACCATGCTTTTGGATTTCATCCCAGTGTAACCGTCTACTATCCGGTCTAAGTAAGATAACCGTGCTTGTGGGTTTCATCCCAGTGTAACCGTCTACTATCTCAGCGACGTAAGATACCTGTGCTTGTTGGTTTCATCCCAGTGTAACTGTCTACTATCTGGTCGATGTAAGATACCTGTGCTTGTGGGTTTCATCCCAGTGTAACCGTCTACTATCTGGTCGATGTAAGACAACTGTGCTTGTTGGTTTCATCCCAGGAACCGTCTACCATCTGGTCGACGTAAGATAACCGTGCATGTGGGTTTCATCTCAGTGTAACCATCTACTATCTGGTTGACGTAAGACAACCGTGCTTGTGGGTTTCATCTCTGTGTAACCGTCTACTATCTGGTCGAAGTAAGATAACCGTGCTTGTGGGTTTCATCCCAGTGTAACCGTCTACTATCTGGTCGAAGTAAGATAACCGTGCTTGTGGGTTTCATCCAAGTGTAACCGTCTACTATCTGGTCGACGTAAGATATCTGTGCTTGCGGGTTTCATCCCAGTGTAACCGTCTACTATCTGGTCGACGTAAGATACCTGTG